CACGAGAGAAAATGAATTCAGAATAGTTAGAGAATTAAGCAGGGAGTTAATTGTTGCTTGGCCCCTGTTTATGAAGCGCAGAAAGGCAAAGCGCCTTGTTTTCCTTCTGACAATTAGCCAGCAGAGATGGAGAGGAACAGTCTGTGTGTGGTGTGTGTGTGTGTCCTGTTCTGTTTAGCAGCTGGTGCAGCCACACCTGGACGAGCTGAGTAGAGTGGGACATAGGGAGAGTTGGAAGGCTGCAGGTACAGCGTGTTTCATATCTGGACCAAAACGGCAACAGAAGAAGATTAAAAAGGGCATAATTTCTATAAAATCGAGAACTTCTACACATGAGTTAAGATAGCTGATGCTGTTCATACAAACACCCGCAGATGAAAGCACACAATGATTATTATTTCGTGTAAGGAATGCCGATCCTGTTGGGTCTCTCCCAGTCCATTTGTCAGCGTGTCCTATTAGGTTTCCAAACAGCTTGTAATGACTGGTAATAAACTGCTGAAGAAGAGGAAGGTAAATCAAGCGAGGAGACGACAAAATGAGCTCTCCGGGGGACCGCCATGCTCCCAGCCTTCAAAACACAAACACACACTGACAAAAAAATTCTTAAAAAAAATAACAGCAAACAATTCAAATGCACCCATCCTGCCGACAGCGCCTGGTTAAAGGGACTGACAAACAGCTAACGGCATGTTTATACAAGGTCACAGGATTTCAGAATGCTTTAGCACAGTTCATTACAGAAACATGTTTAGCCTCTTATGTTGTTCTTCTAACAAAAGCTTCTCTGAAATAAATCTTATATTGTTAGAAATCCTGTTTGTTTCCTCCTAAACGGTTTGACATTTGTAAGAAAAGTGTGTCACCACTTCAGTATAACATGGTCTGCTCCGCTCCTGAATTCTGAAGATCTCTACTAAACCCTCTCTATGGAGAGGAGCACAGAAGTCTTGAAGAAAATCACCTTTGAACTGACTGCTTCCAATGATGGTGAGCTTCATTTTACCAGAGCAAAATGCTGACCCACAGCATCACACTACCTCCATCTAACTGAGTTAGGTGTTGCAAGGGAGAATTTGGCCGGTTTTTCAACCACAAATGCATTTTCCTTACAAATGATTTATTGCAAAGAAGATTTGGTATCATCGAAAAAACATGACAAAGCACATATTTTCCTTCTTTTTTTGGAGCTAAGCATGTACTTCTGTACATTAATTTAACCATTCATCTTGTACAGTGCCTTTAAATGACATTTGATTTGAACAGGTGTTATGTAAATAAACTAATTAGATTTAGTCATTAGTGCTTAATATGTCATCTGCATAGCGAAAAAAAGACCTTAGACACAAAGAAACTGGAAGAACGAGATCATTTTCAAAAGGAGCAGGTTCATGTGAAAATATTTTAGGAAAACATCTATGTTAAGAAAGAAAAACCAACCTTAAACCGACAGACTGTTCTAAAACCTACAATTCAACGACTGGGTTGATTCCTTCCCACTATCATTGCAACTCCCACCCCATTACAGGGGACCAAGGCACCTCACCTCTTCAACCAGGCCAACAATTCCCTTTAACAATCACGACTTTCAGAGACATAGACAGGTCTCAGGGATTACAGGCTAGCAAAGAAACAAAATGACCCCATTCCAAAGGGGCGTACCAGGTCGTCAGGTTCAATTTGCATGTTTCTAAGCGAAAACAAGGCTTTGCTTTGGTCCACTGTATAAAGCCTTGAACTCTACGCTATTTCTGACATTTTGAAATGAAAAAGCTTCCTGGATGGGAAGCGAAACGTCTTCAAACTTGTTTTGGAGTTTTGGAAAAGAAATCCTACTTTGACGTTGAGTGGAGGTAAACGTAAACTACAAAACAGCACTGGTAAACGTAAACTACAAAGACACGGAACACAAAGAAACTAAAAATAAACCCAAGCAGAGGGCAGGACACTGAAACATACATTTAAAATTAAATATTTTCTTATAGTTTTACACTGAGGTGAGCATAAGGGAAATATCCTTGCATTCTGAAAAAAAAGATGGATATTGCTTTACTTTTTATTCTTTATCTTAAGATTTTTATTATTTATCTTTCCGTTAATTTGGTTCGTTTTAATTACTTAAAATGCTATAATTGTTTTCCTTAAAGTGATAAACCACCAAACAAAGTAACCTTTTCTGACATGCTTTATATTAAAGCAGCATTAAGTAAAGTTTTTAGCTTAATAAAGCCTCTACCTCCTCTGATGTTTCTTCATGATGAGTGTTTTCTGAGGTCAGTCTGTGTGAACCATAGCGCCACTTTTAAAAGGCCCTGTAGGGGGAGCTCTACTTAGAAATTGCTTAGTACAGCTTTAAATGAAAAGATTATGCTGAAGTTACAGCTGTTTTCTACTGAAGCTACGCATCAACCTCCTTGCAAGGATTAACTGGCATNGATGGATGGATGGATAATTGTGCAAGAAACCAGGCTGCTTTGTGTTTTTCACACCAGAGAGGTGGGGGGGGGGCTGAATGAAAAAAATCCAATTGAGCTCCTTAATTAAACAGTTTTAAAGGTCAAAGAGCTATTTGTAGTTTCTTTAAAATATCTTTAAACCAGTGAAATGGCCAAGCAAGCAAGCAGTTTGTGTAAAAGATAACCTCATCTTTTGGTTTGATTTAACCCACTGAAGATCCTTTATTTCCCTCTCTATCTAGCCCTTCCTGTTTTTCTCAGTTCCTCCAGTCCCCTGCCCCTCCATCATCACTCCCTCCTTCCCTCTGGTGTCACAGCTCGCTGGCTCCAGGTGGTGAGGGAGGAAGGGATGTAGGGAAGTAGGGAAGGATGGATGGAGGGAGGGATGAAGACAGGAGGAGGGGGTGGCCGTCATCTGCTCCTGTGTTCATACCATCAGAGTGCGACCCAACACCCTGCTGGAATCTGTTTTATTAACCTTGTTATTACTATTAGTCTCAGACATGTCCTGATACTTCATTTTGATTCTGTAAAGGTAAAAATAAAATACATATTTTTATTTATTCTAGAAATCAAAGACGTTTTTGTAAAAAGTAGTTTTTAGACCTAAAAAATAAAAAAAAAAACAGGATTTTTACTGTGTTTCCAAACTGGAAGTATAAACTGAAAGCCGTGTTCATCTGTTCATCAGAGAATGATCCCTTTTAGAAATGTTCTGGTCCTGACATGGTGGAGGTAAAATAAAATAGGAGGTAAGAGTAAAAGATTTACATTTTACATCTTAAGAGATTCTCAATCCGCACCAACAGTTCTTTAAGATCAACTGTTCTTTAAGATATCTTGCTTATTTTTGCAAATTGTAAATAGATTTTTCATTTATAAGTTTTCATTGATGAAAATCTCACCTTTGTTCTATGTACTGCTTGTTTTTGTCTTTAAAACAATTTTAATGGATTGAAGGAGATATAGTTGATTAACAACACTACACATATACAGGGTTCATCTGATCATCAGGAGGAAAAGATCCGCTAAAGGTAAAATAGGATGTAAATACATTGCCTGTTCATCCAACAACTTGTACAACCTCCTCTGATTGCTTCATGTTCCTACTTATGCTTGCAGGATGGACAGCCTCAATGACTTCCCAACTGTCGGTGGTCATAATGTTATGCCTGATTAGTGTATATTTGGGCAACCAGGTGACCCCCTCCTCAGACAGGCTGAGTTATGTTGTTTGTTTCAGTCCAGACCTGCTGCAGAGTCTGATCCTTCACACCAACAACAGCACAGCCACAGAAGCCCGAATCTTATTAGTGGAGGTGCAGCAGGGCAGAAAGGAGAAGCCATGTTTCTAGCCGGTGGCCAACACACACAAACACACGCACTCATACATGAGTGGGCCTTAAACCACATTATCCACCTCCACTGACTCTAAAAGCTTCTTATTCGCCTCATTAAGTCTTCAGTGGCACAAAGTAAGCAGACCAAGGCTCGCTTGTCGCCACATCAACATACGTACGGATAGGTGTGTGCACTTAGAGCCACGGAGAAATGAACGTGCACAGACACACATCGGCTCAGCCGCAACCCATGGGACTACTGCTTAGACAGCAGACCGACATTAGCATTCGGCCGCATCACAGATTTGACGGCAGGCTAATCGAAAGAATGAAAACTATGCAAAAAAAGCAACGTCGAGGTACAAAAGAAAGGAAATGGAGATGCCTCAACGCCTTATCAACTCTGACTAGAAGGGTGGTGCAGCTTGAGATTCACAGGGGGTTGATCTAGCCTTGTGTTTGGTACTTTGGATAGACAGACTGCAGACACCTTTTGCTTAAAAGGGGGATAATCAACCATCAGTTGCAAATTCTCTTAAATCTGACGTCAGGGCGGAGCAGAAACATGAGGAATGTGAGTTCCAGTTATTAGAGTGCGCTGATGTAAATAGGTAAGTAAAGCTCATGCTGAGGACACATCATTAGCCACCACAGTCCACAGGGAACACTTAGATACAGGTGAGTGGCCACTCGATACCTCCAAGGCAGCTGTGTGCATGTGTGTGTGAGAGTGTATGAAGGACAATGGAGCATGCAGCCAGCAGCAGGGATTGGGTTAATGGGGGGGTGAGGGGAGTATGTGTGCAGGCTGTGTCACTTTTCTTTAAAACAATTGTTTTATACAGGAATCTGCAGACTGCACACCATGCAATCAGGATTTTAGGAAAAGCTGACTAACATTAACTGATCACCTCCAAAGTTGCTGCTTTTTTATAGTGATCTGAACAAAAGTCAAGTTGCTCCTCGGTCATTTGCATTTTCATTCCAGGCAGACAGAAGTTCCTGCACGTAAAAATTTTCAAGATTTTTCATTCTGACAATAGACTTTGGCTGCATGAAAGGAAAATGTAAAGAAAAAAAGGAGAGTTTTTGCTTTGCTCAATTTATTAACAGAAGGGGAAAATGTTCATGGTGATGAGCAGGCAGAGGAGGAGCAGCACTGCCTCGCTCACGGTGTGAGCTAATACACAGAAAGCAGACAAACCTTGCTGACAGGTGGGCTCGTCTATGGCCATCCAAGGTGGGGATGGGGAGAACGGAGGAGAGAATGAGCAGGATTAGTCAAATAGGCTTGTGAACGCGATGAGGGGGAAGGAGGAAGAAATGTTATAGACAAGGCAGCTCACCAGTCAGGACGGAAACACATTTGTAATCTTTAAGCTTAAGGCAACAAAAGAAAAGTCACACAGCTATTATTTGGCTTTAGCCTTTTTCTTCAAGGCCCCGTTTTCCTTTTCTACTCAGAATTAGAGATGAAGCAAACAACTGATGAGTTGGGGAGGTTTGGATCCTTGGTATCGCTGGGAATTAGTGACAAAAAGCACATTTCTGTTCTCCCCACTGGCACCTACATCCAATGCAGACACCAAAAACCTTACTTGCAGGGGTAAAATTCATGTTGACCACAAGCAGTTGCTATTGGGCGGGTACAGCTGTCAACGGCTGAACTTAAGGCTCAACTATTTATCTTAAAAAGTAGGAAAACCTATTCAAAAAAAGTAATTCTGCTATAAGATTTAAAACAGGGTCGTTTTTTTTTGTTTTTCTTCAAAAAACTTTACAAAATACTTAACTGATATTAATGGGCCTTTTGGTGTCATCCGTAAACCCAGTCTGTCTGGACCTCATCAGCTTAAATTTACCTTGCAGGAGAAAAATTTCTGCTCCAGTTAGTCTTTTAACAGATTAAAACAAGTCCGAAACCATACCTAACTGTATGTGCATTTTGGTAACTTTCCCAGGCTACATCCACATAAAACATCTGCGTAGAGAAAGCTTAAAGGTATAGTGGAGGATGTTCTTTTTCCGGGTGGATCATCAAAATAAATGGTCCTCCTAATCGTTAATCATTCTGGTATTGTGTTACTTTCTGAGATATTGGAAAAATTTAATGACTAAAACAGAGCAAATCGGCTCGTTCAAGCTCTCGCTCACATTTAATAGGCGTTCCCTCTCAGGAGCGGGTACAGGGTTGTGCATATACATTTTTTTTTAAAAGAGGAGAGAGTGGGTCTTTTAAAAAATTTGCGAAAATCCTCCCCCACTGTATAACTTTAAACTGAAGCTTACAAAGGTGTAATAGAAGTAATATTCTTGCCAAACCAATGGGGGGCACTAGCTCTGCCACATAGCTAAGAAGGTAAGAAAAAAAAAAGAAAAAAAAGAAGTAGGATGCCAAAAATGAATGCAGAGTGAGGAGAAACAATGCTGTTTCTGTAGACCGACAAAGGAGGAGCAACTAGTAGTGTAGCTAAATGAAAATCGAGCTTCTCTACCATAAGACTTGTCTTCAACCTTGTGTATTGCTCACATCAAATACTGCAGACTGACACTAATCTAAATCTTTTTTGTTCTTTTATTTATTTTCTTATTTTTTTCTACTTGCTTTGATTCTGTTTTATTTTCCTATATTTTAATCATGTAAAGCACTTTGCATTGTCTTTGTACTGAATTGTGCTATACAAATAAATTTGCCTTGCCCTGCCTTGCCTTGCCTAAATATGTGGTCAGCAGACGTGTTTATCAATCACAGATTGAGGAAGCTGATAAAGAGTTAATCAGTTCAGACTTAAATCTTTTTAAGTTTTTTTTTTTCACCAGGGCTCCAACATCTTCCTGGAAACGACACAGCAGGCAGCAATTTAGTGTTTTCTGAGTCTTCAGTGCTTTTGTCTTGTAGTTATTCATAGATAAAGTCAAAATAAAAAAAATCTTGCATTCTTGCTTGAAATTATTGAAGTAATAATGATAGGTACACAAACCAGAGACCCGTAACCAAAATGGCTATGTTGATGTTTGATTTTTAAAGCTTATTTATTAACAGAAATTACACATATGAGCTATAGAGACCATTTAGGAATTTTATAGCTTTAGTTTATTGTTTTGGCCTAAAAATTGTTTTATTTCATATAAAAAAAAACTCAGTTCTTAGTTTAGAAACTCACGGAAATTCCCATCTACAGACTAAAATATAAGGTTGACTCATATGAAAAAATGAAACATTAAAATAACAAAAAAAAAACACCTTTGAAGTTAGGATTAAGAGTTCATGGATGAAGTTAAAGTTTTAGAAGAACCTTGCTCCATTCTTGTAGACATGTTTAAGGATGGGTTTCATGCAGCGAAATCTTAACCGAAATGATTAACAAAACATTAGCAGCTGCATGGAACATTTGAAACCTGCTGCTGACAGCTTTATTTAGGGAAATGCATGTGTTAAATACATCAGTTTAAATAGCTCCGGTTCCAACGATGCTTTAAAAACAGACACCCTGTTTTTGCTCCCTGGTTGTCGTCTAAGAAACAGAAGCTGCTTATTGACAAACCGCATGACAGAACCGAGTGGTAACACACGTATGGTGATTCGTCTCACCGCCTCACACCATCACACAGGGAGGGAACCGCTTCATGATCTGCAGCTGCACAGCAGAAAACAATAAAGGCTGCCAGAAATCACGGCGGTGCAGTCCAGAGAGACACACAGGAACAAATATACATGTTCATACAGTGACAGGGAGGGGTGAGACATACGAGGACAAAACAAATCAGTGTGGCGTGTTGTTACCCCAAAAGAAAATCTATCAAATTTAGAGGAGCAGCTGAGGAAAGCGTTACAGCTGCTGCTCTGGAAAATTAGCTGATCTGTTTCAGCACCTGCAATATGCAAAAGAAAATAAAACTGCAGGTCTCGTTCATTTGCAGTGACTCTATCCATCAGTGTCTGCAGCACCACCTCATCTTCTCCTCTTCCATAAAGTCCAGGAAGCGCAAGATCGACGCAAACCAAAAGCACAAACTAACACTCTGTTAAACAAAACCTTTCAGTTTCTCTTACCCCACAAAAACCAGGTCAATATGGTTCTTTAACTGCTCTGCAGCAACAGCAAAAACTCATTTAATGAAAAAAAAGAGCTGCACAGCATACTGAATCAAATCATCATCTCAACATATGTGTGTAATACCACATTTACAAAAGGCTGCTTGAATACAATCTTTGGGAGGAGTTTGTATTTAAAATGCATCCATGCAAACAATGCATTTCACCTCCAGATAGACCAACTAGCTCAGATGGAAGAACAACAATCACGTTCTGAAACACTGAGCTTTTCAAAGCCTGGTGGGATCTATGTTGCACAATAGTTCCATGTTTGTCTGACATTCTGCATTCTGCAATTAAAACGTCTTTTTCAACAAGAAATGTATTGTTAACACAATAGAAGTTTGCTTTTATCAGTCACTGGTGGGGTAGCATCTCAGCTTTATAGAAGGTTCCTAAAGATCTGCCAATAGATGTTAAAACCCTAAACTGTTGTTTAAGAGAAGGTGTCAAAAAATCTTCAGTTATGTGGAAACATCTAGTAGAAACAATGTTGGATTTGTTTTTTATTTCATTCATATGATGTAGAGAAAGACATTCATAGTAGAAATAAATTAAATCACTTTGATCCAGGATCATATTGGCACGTGGACGCTTTTTATCAGTAGCACAGATGTTTTGGACACCGCTGCATTCATCACATCCAAATGTAGTTTTTTTCCCTCTAAAAATATCTTCATGTCATTTTTTGCTAATCTGTGATGGATGATGTTTTCTTTGTTGTCTCACTTAATGTGATGTGTAACATGGAATAAAACGTTTGTGTCAAGTCAAAGCCCTAAAAAAGCTCTGGATTAGAGTATAAAATATTCTATAATATCCATCCCTTCTATTTTGACTCTAATTGTTTGGATGTTAGTGATGTTTTAATCATCAGGACCATGAAGTGCAGCTGGTATGATGAAAGCTTCTTCTGTTAACATGCTAATATGTAGCAGTGGAAACATGTCATCTGAGTGATTAACTGTGAATGCTGTGATATAAGTGATAAAGTTGAACTGGAAGACCGCATGTTATATTTACTCAGAGATGTTAACCAAACAATTCCTGATCAGACAAACAGGTCAGAAATATTTCTACTGTTCCATTTCTGTTGCTCAGCTTTAAGCAGGGGTTCATTCCATACATGAAAAAACACAACCTTCAGTCCTTTTGATTTAAATATCATCAACTATTTACTTTGGACTCAGTGGAAATCATATATTTGATAAGAAATGTATTATTTAGCTATATATAAGGAGCTGTGACTATTAAAGTGAATTACTGTTAACAGAAAAACATCCACAAATACTGCAGTAAAGCTTTTTTGTCCGATTTTCCTTATCAGACCAAAAGCTAAAGGACATTCCGGTTATCTCAGGATTGTGTTTTCGAGGATTAAAACTGGAGATGCTACACTGAGCAGCTAACTAGATTATTTTTACATCAATTTACACCAGAAATTGACCATTATTTGTCTTTCGTCTAAAGTAAGGGAGATTTGTTGAACTAATAATTAACTTGTGGATTCATTTCTGCTCTTGATATTAACTAAAAGTTTAGACTGATAAAAAGCTGAGAGAACAGTAACTTTAAAATCAACAGCTTCCTATTTGAGGCTTAACAGCAAGCCTTTCTGTTACCGATGTCCAGGAAAACTGTTTGTTTTTTTCTCCTCTCAGTGTCTGTTTATTTCGGTATTTCTTTTTTAAAGCTGAGCAGCACAGAGTACCTGATCATAGTTTGGGGAAAAAGAAAATATTTGTGCAAATTAATGCTACAAAAAGATTAATGAGCAATTCATGCATCTACATTGAAATGGACAAGGAAGATGTTCTTCCTTCACTGTCAGGGTATGGAGGATGAGGGGGAGGGGGAACTGGAGTGTAAAAATAGTAAGTTCTTAAAACATTCTGCTATGATGATAATTAACTATCACTCAGTTTTCACACAATTATCACATTAATTAACCCAAAACTGCCACTAATATGAACATGTACGTATACAGTAGAGCTGTAGAAGGAGGGAAGGTTTGATGGAGGCAAACCATGAGGGTGAACCATGATTTCAGGATGGGTTTCCATTGAAATGCCATGAATATATTAGAGAAAACGTTAAGTTAAATGGTTGCAGAGAGAAACTGAGCCTCTTTCAAAAGGTTTCCTACCGTCAGTCTGGGTCATGTGGTTGTTGTCAAAACAGAATCCCAACTAAATTAAAGTTTCTGCCAAACCAACCCTGTAAAGTTCTGACTAGCAGGGGAGCTTAAGGTGAGGGAGATAAGCAACAGATGAGAGGATAAAAATATTAATTCACCTGAAATGTTTCTGCTTTCTATATTAAATGAACCCCTAAAAATTACTTTCAAGTAGATTGCGTACTGTATTATCACAGCGCACAATATCTTCATTCAAACTGAATCCAGATCTCTTTTTCCCATCATAGGCAGCCAGAAACATAACTGATGACCTTTAAGGATTATCTTGCCTCCTTCAGTTGATCTTTCCATCGGAAAGCATCCATCGGCCTAAAAGGGAACATATCACCCCTCTGTTTGTTAACCATTAGCCTCAAACATCTAATTCACAGTTTGCCATTGTTAAACAACTCCCTTCACCTTCAATGTGAGGGCTTACATCACAACTCTGTCCCTTTACTGTGCTAAAGAGAATCCAGAGTCCTATCATGTGTCGCTCCATGATGGTGGAATGACCCACTGAGCGCTATTAAACCAGAAGACCAAATCCAGAGGTTCTCCAATAACATCAGGTCAGCTCTGCTTCTGCTTATATTTCCATACTCTACTCAGCTTCCAGCACAAATATGATTTCATCTTTAGAGCCTCTTTATTAAGTTCCAGTTTTGGTCATCTTCTCTAATTTTAATAAGCTCCAAAGTAAACTGGTTCCACAACAAACTGTTTATCACTATCTGAAGCAATTCCTAGAGTCCCTCCCACACCTTACAGGCCTTCTGGTGTCTGCTGGCTACATAAGGTAAGAGGTTCTGCAGCTGCATCAGAGCCGACAGACACACACACTAACCCCTTCGGAATGCACCAGCACCTCTACCTGTCAGGTGTGTATGTGTGGGTGGGTGGGGGCAGGCAGAGTATTTTTTCCTCCAGAACAACTCGAGGGTCCACCTCGTTAATCTCCATGATGACAGGGATGCTAAGGCAGCAAATTAGTGGCGAGCAGAGAAAAAAATAATAAGAGTCCCACAAGACGCCCATAAAAGAACATTCAAAGTATAAAGATGGGTTTTAGCAGTGCTGCTTAGTAACGATGTGAGCAAAACGTCATAACATTTTTCCCAAGAATCAATTACAAGTCCTCTAATGTCTAAGTAAATATGTGTGCTGCTTGAGGCTAAAATGAATAAAAAAGCACATTTTTGAACTCACATTTGCATTGGATATAAAAACATCAACATTTTCAACAGCTAGAAGTTCTAAAAATCAAAATAAGCTTCTTTGCACAACCTCCAAAATCAAAAATAAAAAAATCCTAATTTGTCCTAATCATTGTGCATTTGTACATTTGTGTTGCATAAATAGTGCATTTAGATGCACATATTTGCGTTGAGGTCCATGGAACCAACATAGAAATGAAAATCAGACCAGATCATCTAAACGCCGTACTCACCGATCATATGATTAGCCACATGAATCTGGATCTCTCTTTCCGTCTCAAACGTCATTTGGCATTTAATACACTGGTAGGTCTTTTTCTAGGATAGAAAGACAAAGACATAAAAACAATATTACTGCTGTGCATTTTGCACCTTATTTTTGCCTCGATAGTTGAAATTGTGAGGTAAAAGCCGAGATTGGGCCGCTGGTTGCAGTGAAAACAAGAAAAGGAGACAAATAATGAAAATAAATCAATAAAAGACAAAAGAAACGTTTCAGAACGAGGTAAGAACAAGAGAGAGAAAGAAAGATGCAGAAAATCCAGGATGAGTCACAGAGAGCGAGAGCCGAGGAGCAGCTCTGCTTATCCATTCACTGCACACAGCGATCACTCATGCACAAACACATACAAAATACACAAAGGCCCCACTTCCACTTTCCCTCTGCTGCTTCAGTCTGTTACACACACACACACACACACGCAGAAACCCTACTTTGTCTGCTTTGTGCTGTTAGACTAAGCAGAAACAAAGGTGTAGGTAAGACAGGGAGTCCCTGGGAACTGACACACTCACACACACCTTCACACACACTCAGTCAGAAACACAACGGCAGGTCCCGGGGAGCCTGACTGTCAATATCAAGCAGAGCGAACAGCCCCCTCAATGCTGCCGCATGGCCCAGCCGCAGGACCCGCTGGGGCCCGGCTCACACAGACGTATGTACACCCCGAATACACGCAGCAACACCTGACACAAACACAAACGGCCTCCCGAAAACATCTCCATCTGCTGACACCTGCTCAGGTATCAAACACTACGCTGAAGGGATGGTTGAGAGTGAGATTCTGTGGAGAGCTTAGGAGCATCAATATCTCACTGGCACTGGACAACTCTGGAATCTGTAACATTTAAATTCAACTTTTCTTCAAATATAACACTTCTCCCGCTAAAAACAAACCACTGTTTTTTTTTAGGCATTTGTTGGACGCGTTTTGTTCACTAGTTACTGTCTCACCTTGGGTGCAGGTGAAGCCTCAGCCTTCTTTCCTGCAGCGCTGGTTTCAGGGCTGACCTCAGGGTGATCTGTTTGGACGTGGCTCTCCAAGTCTTCAACGCTTTCAAACTTCACACCACATTCGGGACACCTCAGCCCTGTCAGAGCCTTATCTGCCTGAGTATCTCCAGGCGTCACTGCTCCTCCAACCACATTGGGACTCTGGCCATTTGTTCCCCTGATTGGATGAAAAAGAAATCTTCATTTTATACATTCTTAGAATTAAATATAACATGCTCATCTTCTGGGGTTCTAAACACCCTTCCTACCGGCTCATGCAGCTAGCGCAGAGGCCGTATGGCAGCCCGTTGACGTCCAGCTTCACCAGATCCCCTTTGTTTTTGAACTCCTTCAAGCAGAAGGCACATTTGTAGAGCTTGTGCGTCTGCAGCTGTCCGTTCGGGGAAGAAGAGGCTGAACCGTTCCCTGTGCCCGCTCCACCGTTGCCGCCTCCGGCGCCTCCCAGCACTGAGCCAGAGGAGAGCTTCTGCATGTGGAAGGTGCCGTGGATCTTCAACTCCAGCGTTGAGGTCACGGTCTGCATGCAGACGACGCAGCGGAAGCCAGTGAGCGAGTTGCGGAGGTCGGGATGCATCTGGCAGTGCTCTATGAACTCCTCCTCACTCTGGAGTGGCATCTTACAGATCCGACAGGTCCCCGTGTCCAGGCTTTTACTGTGGGTCACCTGAGAAAAGGATTTATCCGAGAGTCAACAGCATATTGTGTACCACAACAGACACATTTGAAGGGAAGCTTCTCTTTCCGATCTACAGCTGGTCAAACTGAGGCTGTTTGTTCAAAAAAAAAAACAGAAACCAACTATTTCCTTCAGCTTTTTGAAACAAGACATGCAGCACTTTTCATTTCAAGTCTCCAACAAAAAGGTATAGAAGCTAAATTCAACAAAACCCCCATCTGTGCAGTCTGATGTCTCTGTAATATCTTTGGGGTTTCTCACAGCCAATACTATTATACAAACGGTAATAATATAACATGACTAACACGATTCTTCAGATCTAGACTCTAATCTGCTTGTATGATTCAGTTTAAGTCAAATTTTCTGTGTTATTATTTACTCTCAGCCAGAGTTCTCCAAGGCATTGGTCAAACCGAATTTAATGTCCATAAACAAACGCGTTTTCATACAAACCGATTACTAATAACCTCCTGCTCCAACTGATCCATTTACTTTCCTTTAGGATCCTTCAACCCACATAACCCAGTTCATTACATACATGTGCTGTGAGAGTCATGTTTCATTGCAGGAACAAAATCTCATCCTGAAAATTGAAGCTTTAAATTAGCAGGGAGAAAAAAAAGCCTCAAGTTATTATAATGAGTCGTTTTTATTTTATTTTTTTATTGTTTTCTTAACCTCCACCTAGTTTATCTACTATGGTAACAATTAGTGTTTCCTTTTCATTTCAGAACCAACAGGTGTTCCATTAAGGTTTACGTCTGGGCGCTATGATAATCACCTTCTCTATCATTATTCTGCTAACAAACAAAGTCTTCAGACAACGTTTGGACTTAGGTCCCCAGATTACAGTTTTATGGAACAGTCGAAAAAGTATCCCACAGCAACTAGAGGAAAATAAAAAACAGGCCTCATCTCGACATAGCAAACACATCCAGTTCATCTTTACATGTCTACGTATGTTTGTGATGGTAGGAAAGAAACTGAGTCACTTAAAAACAAAAGACAGTAGAGTCTTATAGTTGCCATGTCAACTTTGTGAGCTTGAAATGCGACTCTTCAGTGGTGTGACCGTTTCAAAGTGCCAGACTAACTTGGCTCCTGATTCTGAGGTGATGCAGACTGAGAGGCACACTGTTGTAGAAAAAGCAGCTCCAGAGATTTGGTTTAGAAGCAATCATTTCTGGTATTCTAACCAACAGAATTTACTTTCTTACATTGTTCAGTTTGAGATTTTGCTCCTGCAATAATATATTAACAAAGTGGTTTAATTGGATCAAATAAAAGATCAAGAATTTACTTATTTTAAGGCATTTAAAGCATCTTTAACAATCAATACATCTGGTACAGTGGAGAAAAAAAAACACATTTACAGGACCTAAACACACTTTCAGAGCTGCAGATTTCCATGCTGCAGATCAGATGCGTACCTTGTGCTCTGTGAGAGTCAATAGAGATGGGAAACGTTCTCCACATATGGGGCACATGTAGTGCTTGGCAGGTCCGCGATGCGTCTGAGCGTGCTCACGCAGCCCACTCTCAGAGAAGAATGTCCTGGAGCACACGTTGCACTTGTGGTTCCCTTTGATGAAATCTGCCTTTTTCTTCCTGGAACCTGGAAAACAGAAAAAGTAGGAATGATCAGAAATATGATCCATAACTTCCCTGAGACACACAGGAGAGGAGACAATAGTTCTCACCTGCATCATCTTCGCCCGGCCGGATGTTGTGGTCGCGTAGGCGGTGGTTCTGCAGCAGTGACTCCATTGTGTAGGCCGCTCCGCAGATGTCGCAAGCGTACATGGGCTCCGAATTGTCCAGCTCCTCCTCTCCACCGCTGGCCTCGTGACTGTTGGCTGTGTCGCCTGCCTGCGACGACCCCCCTCCTCCAGTGACGGCGCTCTTCAGCAGGATGTTCTGCAGGTCGGCTTGTTCAGCAGCTGCCACTGTTGCTCTTTCTGCTCCTCCTGCAACCCCACTTCCTGCTCCTCCCCGCTTGACGCTCTGAGCCAGGCCATTGGGCGTTCCGTTCTGACTCCCGCTGCTCCCCGTTCCTCCTCCGTTCCCGGTGACATTGCTGCCATCGAAGATGCAGTGCTTCTCCCGCAGGTGTCGCTCCAGCAGCGAGATGGCGTGGAAAGCTTTGCCGCAGAAGCGACAGGTGAACTTCTTGCTGTGGGTGGTGATGTGGCACTGGAGCTCCACCTCAGTCCCGAACGTCTCCCCACAGAAGATGCACTTTCGTGGTTTAAGTCCTGCAAAAAAAAAAAATTAATGTTCAAAATGATTATATAACTTTCTTCCATTAGCTTTGTCTATCTATTCTAAACTGAGAAAGGTGAGAAAAGCCACTTGTTCTAAAGGGAAAAGAGAAGAAAGCTTTCAGAAACCATCCTTCTGTCCATGTTATGGAGCCCTTCTTTGCTGTCAGGAAGCTACATGGGATTTTGAAGCTTAGAGGCCATGTTTTGTTTTCAAGTCTTTGGAGTTATATGCCCTGCATGACTGAGATTTTCATCAACATTCTGCTTAGTTCCATTCATTTACTGAGGTGGGTCCTTAAATGTCATTTTTCCAACTTCAAATATCAATATATTTAAATATCATTATATTATAACAACAGTAGGTTGCAGCTGAACAATTTAATATTACAGACTCTACTACACACAAATGATTATTTAGAAAATGGCGTTTTTAGGTCTCAATTGTGCTCCAACTGTGTCATTTTGAAGCATAACAAGTTGTTCTTAAATTGCTAGAGAAAAGTTATAGGATATGCTTTTTTTTAATACCACTGTAAAAACCAACCAGCTGATTGATGCCCAAAAACTGAATTAGCTTCTTTTTTATTAACGTTTGCAAATAAAGTAAGCTTTTAGCAGGACTTCTTCTGGGAAAAACCAAGATCAAGCTTCCGCGGCCAGAAATTTACCAGCTCACACTATCCTCCATTTCTCTACTACTCGCTGATTCACTCTATGTCTGCCTCCTTTACAGGCTAATGGTAATGACAGTTAACCTTCATCTCCCATGTATCAGTCTATAGACGGAGGCTCTCTGAGATGGAAGAAATCTAATTTTAAAACTTTATTTTCAGAGGAGTGAATATGAACACACAATTAAATAAACTAACATAAATGTAGGGTCAAATAAAAGAGTGAAGCATTAAGCAATATAAGAAAAAAAACACATTTTCCCATCATCCTTTGAGGAAATAAAACGTACCTGCTAGTCCTCCTGGAAGGCCTGACCTCTGGCCCAGGTGGTTATGCTTGACATGGAGCTGAAGATCGGCCTCCTTCCTGAAGTCCCATGTACAGGCGGTGCAGCGAAACAGCTTCTTCTCGTTGCTGTGTTTTACAGCCAAATGCACCTGGAGGACCGAAGGCAGAAGTACAGTTATAAATCCATAGTTCCTACACATTTTTAATTTTCAGATTCCAAACTTTTCTTCACTCAAACTGCCACTTTTTTTAACCAATTTTGAAATGAAAATGTGAGTCTTTTATGGATGAGTGGCTCATTGGGGCACAGAATAAAGTACGTAAAAAGAATCAAGCAGTTTCTAATTACCTGTATGGAGACCTTGGAGTCGAAGACTTCCTGACAGAGGGTGCAGTGGTACAGGACGAACGTGTGCATGTCCAGCAAGTGTTTCTGGAGGTCGTCCACGGAGGAGAACTGCTTGTCGCAGCTCTCGCACACGTACTGCGTAGACGTGGTGGTGTAATGCACTGTGAGGTGCTGGAGCAGTGCCTCCTGTGTCTCAAAGTCTTCCTTGTTGCACTGCGGGCAGGACTGGCGTCTCAGCAGCATCTCCAGGTGAGACTTCAGATGAGCCTGGAAACCTTCGAAGCTAGCGAATCGGAGGTCGCACTGATTGCACGGATAATCCCCGTTGCTTCCCATGGAGGGAGTGGAATCGCCTCCCAGTCTGTGGCGTTTGGGAGATGAGATTTCCACGTCGGAGGAGGCTGGGCTGAGGTCAGCAACCTTCGCCTGCCGTTTGTTGTTCGCCAGAGGGATGTTTTTGTGGTTCTCCTTGATGTGCTTCGTGAGCTTGAGGAGTGAGCCAAAGATGGGAGAATTGGTGCAGTAAGGGCAGGAATAAACCTGAAAAATGGAAAATAAATCTTTATAAAGACCGTTATTCATCAACATTCACTGTCAGTCCCCGAAGGTAAATGTTAGGTCCCTGTGGAGGGAGAGAGAAATTGAAAAAGATATGCAGAGCAGGGGGAAGATAAACAAGCGTACACTTTAAATTACAATCAGACTTACAGCTTTGACAGCTTCTTTTCAGAGCTGAGCTAAATTCTTGAGTTATTTCTAATTTATTTTTCCTTCTTAACTGTCAGTATATTTAAAGTGCTCTTGACCTTTAGATATTCAGGCTTGCTGACGTCCTTTTATTATTCATTCAGCCATCTAATTGATCAATGAATCATCCTGGGCCCGTAACTGGAGAAAGCACAACTTGTTAACATTTATTTGATTGTTTCTATGAAAAAATGACAGACTTAACAGAAAAATATTGTCTGAAAACACCTTGACAATCCTAAAACCTTAAGAGCAAAAAGATCATAATAAAAAAAGACACTAAAAGCTGAGGCTGTCTACTATAAGATCCTAAAAATCTGCTTATGTCAGGTGAAGGAGCAGATGAATAAAAAACACGGTTATAAAAAGAGCACAGTGTAAACTTTTCCTTACCCTTTACATATCATTTTGATTTATATTAATATCTCAATGTAATTTAGATAAATAAAGTTTAGAGTTTGCCTTACTTTATCTACGCTGAAAATCTCTTATTAATTTATAGCTTAGCTAAAATTAGTTTACTGTACCTTTAATTCACCTCAAGTTATTTTAATCAATCACACTTATATTACCGTATTTATTCATCTACTTCTAATTAGATTGACTCTTGGTTGTTTTAGCTTACCGTAGCCCATCTTGCTTCCCTTCAGCTAAGCTAATTTTACAAAAATGAACCTAAACTTAAGTTGCTTATTATAAACTCCCTAAGCCTACACTTACTTACCTGAATTTACTTAAGGTGAGCTGATTTCACCATAGCACCTAAAAAAAAAAAAACGTCCCAAGCAAAAATGAAAGACCGTAAGACAGCCTACAGGTCTTTTTGCCATTCAAACTGAACAAAACATTTTTTACTGTAATTTATTATAAATTCCAGACTATTGCAATATATAAAATTAGAGAGTTAAAGTACTGAAATATCCCTTTATTTTTAAATCAACTGGTTTTGATTCTCACCTCCATGAAAGACTGAGACGCAGCCTGGAGAACGGGGGATTCCAGTTTGGCCACAGCTCCTCCAGACGCCGCCCCGCCGCCCGTAGCCGAGGTGCAGTGCGTTTGCTGAATGTGCTCCGTCAAGGAGGACTCTGTGAGGAATCCCATGGAGCACTGGTTGCAGAAGAAGGCATGGTTCCCCTCTGGAGTAACATCAGCAAATGATATTTAAACCATGGTTTTCAGTGATGATTTTAATTTCCAGACATTAATCACTCCTAACCTGTTTGTTTAATGGGTACTTATGTTTTAAATAATTAAATTCCTAAGTTTTCTTTACATGACCACAAACAAAGAAAATCTTTTGTTTCACGATTAAAACAATTGCAAACCGACAATATTTTTGTAATGATAAATCTAATTTATTTCACAAGAATATAAATAAGTTTACTGTCTTTTTTTTGGCTTATTTTATTAGGTTGCTTTATGGATATTCATCTTTAATGAACAGGATTGTTTATTTCCTTATTTCAGGTGGCAGCTTTGGATCTGTCATTAGTTGAACTGTTAAATCCAACACTACCAACATCATTGTTTGAATCAGGCCAATTCTTATTGTTATTGTTAACATACCTAGAGTGGTGGATCCCGCCACGATGCCACCCGGCAGGCAGTGGGACACTCGGATGTGCTCCTGCAGGGAGTTGATGTCTCCGAACATGTCCGGACAGTAGTTGCAGTGAAACGCAGTGACATTTGTGAACTGAAGCAGAGGAAAAGCTGCTGCTGCCGCTGTTGAGCCCACGCTCCCTCCGCTGGCACGGTGGGCCTTTCGCACATGCTCGTTGAGGTTGTAGAGCGTCGGAAGAGTTTCCAAGCAGAGCTGGCAGGTGTGGCTCTGCTGCGGTTTGTCTGCATGGATGGTCTTAAGATGGATCTCCAACACGGCCAGGCTGTGGAAGTCTCTCTTTGAGCAGTAAGGGCAGGAATATGTCACTTTAGTCCAACTTCCTCCTGAGCCTGCAGAAAAAAGTATTGGACATGTTATTATTAAAGGTATAGTGTAGGATTTTCGCAAATTTTTGAAAAGACCTGCCCTCTCCACTTTAAAAAAAATATACATGTACATGCAAAACCCTGTACCAGCTCCTGAGAGGGAAAGTCTATTAAAGTGTGCGAGAGCATGCACAAGCCCATTTGTTCTTGCACACGCTCTGTTTAAAAGTTGCCGTTTCTCTTATTTTAAATGTAAACTGTCATATTCCATTGGCAAAGTGTCACATACCTGCTCAGTTTGATAAAAAAATGCACTTATTTTAAGGAAGATTGACTTACTTAGATTAAATGTTTTGCAGTGTAAGTAAACATCCTTTTAATGTCTCTTATATTAGCTTATCTGTACCTTGGTGAACCAGGCTAATGCCCCCGTCTTCCCCAGAATCGACGCCTCTCCTACGGCTGCGTTCTCCACTCTGACTGTGTTTAAGGGTGGAGTCGGGGGTGGAGCCTCTCTCCAGACTGGCGCTGGAGTCTGGTGTGGCCGAGCTCATGGAGGCTACGCTCCCGAGGGGAGGATCTGGACTGGCGGCGCTGTGGTTAGAGGAGTCGGGCTGGCGGTGACTGTCCAGGTGGCAGTATACGTCCTCCACAGACGGGAACTGCTCAGAGCAGACAGGACATCTGTGATAGAAAAAGCAAGCCCAGTAAATAACAGTTCTTTCAGAGGTCAAAAAAACTCAAACAACGCTCTGCTGTTACTTGTGTTTCCGGTTGGCGTGCTGTGTTTCAATATGAGTGAGCAGCGACGCCTCATCCAGAAAGATCTCTGGACAGTGGATGCACTGCAGGTCTGCTCGGTCAGACAGCTGTGGGTGTCGAGTCAGGACGTGTTTTTCCAGCTCATCCGTCTGGCTGAACGTTTCCTCACAGTAATCACACATGTACAGATCCTGCTCCAGTTCAACGTCTCCTCCTGTTCCCTTCTTCCCCCCATCCTTTTCACTTCTTAGTGCAAGATGCTCTCTGTTCTTACGGTGAGCCTGTGAGGTTACATAGTGCCCCGAGATTAATCAAAATAAAATAGAAACTAACCTATCAGCTTTGTAGTAAAACTCATAGCAGCAAGTCATTAACACTAGTTTACCTGCATGTGGCTCTGCAGCGATGAGGTGGAGGAGAAGCCACGTTTGCAAACTGAGCATTTAAATGGTTTGCTGGAGCTGTAGGGACCAATTATCAACAAATCAGACTGAAGAACAAAAACATTTTTTTTTTTTTAGCTTATTTGTTTTTACCTGTGTGTTTTCAGGTGGATCTTAAGATGATCAGAGCGAGAAAATGCAGCTTCACATTCCTGGCAGCTATACTTCTTATCTCCTGCAGGCGATACAATTAAAGATGAAAATCCTGGTCGAATAAGTCCTTTGATAAAAAGGTAAATAAAAGGTGTTTAACTCTGACGCCTCCTGCAAGTTAGCGTAAGCATGTGCATGAATTTTAAAAACAAGAATCCAGAACTTAAACCTGATTCTTGCCCTTATTATCAATCTGTTAAATGATCCAAGCTGTTTTAGACTATAATCAGGTCTAGATCAGACTGGATGATCAAGTTTCAATGTGGAACCATAATATGTTACTTCCAGAGTAGCCAAGTGTGATTCTCAGAATATAACACCAATAAATATAATAATAACTTATGTTTGATAAAGATGATGTATATTTCTTGGTTTAGTGGGAATAACCAACAAGTTCTGCAAAAAGCACACAGTAAATTGTTGAAAAGTAAGCTAGAACCATTAACTTACATCATGGCAACTATATATGGTGTGTAATGTTCCAGAATTTACTCTGTACTTTCTATAAAGTAACCGATTCTACAAAAACAACCTTCAAGTTTTGTAAAAGTTACTTGTGTTTAAATAATTTATTTGCTATTTATGTTAAATCACGTAACCTGAACATTTCAAATAGCAGATTTTCCATTTTATAACAAGTAACTTAAAATTGCTTGAGTTCGGCTTTTGTGTACGTAACCACTGAGTTATTAAAAGCTACCTGTTGCTACAAGTTGAAGAACTTGTGCTCTGTAATTTGTGAGTCCCAGTAACCTTTCAGTTTCTAAAAAGGATCTTTGGGTTAATTTTTAAATTTTTTTTTTAAAGCAGCTGTTAGGTTCCAGAAAACTTATCCCTACAAAGTACAGTGTACGTCCAGAGAAAATCAGCAGTAAAGATTAAAAAAGTGAACTGTACGCTCCAGAAGGTGTCCTTTAAGTAATGATGCGCATCTTATAAATTCTGGGAAAAGTAACTTCACATTTCTTTCAAACTCTAGGAAGTAAACCAAGCTGCTTTAAAAAAATGCTTAGATTTTAGAGAAAGGAATTTGTAATTTCTGTGAAAGCAATCTGAATGTATAGAAATAAGAAAAAACACAAAATCCAAACATATATTGGATTTTCCGGTAATTATTTATTTTTGGATCTTCCACATATTTAATCTCTCGTCTCAAAGTTAAAAATGCACCAGAACAGGCCACTAGTGCCAAGTTTTCAGTTTTAAGTAAAGAAAAAGTGGCTAGATGGGAAAAAAATCCAGGACAGCTGGGACGTGATGGCTGAACGTACCTGTATGGAGTTTCACGTGGCGATCTCTACTCCTCTTGTGTTTGAACAGGCGGCTGCAGAAGGTGCACTTGAACGGCAGCTTGTCGCTGTGGATCTGCTCGTGTCGCTTCAAGTAGCTCAGGCGACTGCAGGCAGAAGTATGATGTTAGCTCATAGGAAGTTAATAATGCCAAATATAAACAAACTTTAATAAATAGATTGTGATGCTTAACCAGAAACTATGACAACAGGTGATATGATGTGCCTGGAGCTTTTACAGCTGAAACCAGAGCTTTAATGTTTGCTTTTCTCCTTCTACTGTCTGATATTAAAGAATAAAACATTCTTGTTTCAGGTAAAAATAGGATTACAATGTTATGCATTTTGTTAAATACATTAATACCTCATCCAGATGGTAATTTTACAGCTTTGTAAGCCTGTGATTAGATCATTCAAAACTCTTTAGTTGAATAAAGACACAACTGTAGATGTATTTTAAAAGGAGCATCATGCTTTTGAGAGGTTGGTCAGAATGGATGGGAAGAGTTACATAAAGAGCAATCTGTAAAAATTGCACTGACTCTAGGCTTAGGTTAAGGACCAACTTCCAGCACAAAATCAAACAACTTGTTTTTTCGTAAATACATTTCAACTCTTTGATTTTCAGCATATCTATGTCTACAAATGTCCTAATCAAAGTCCAAACCTGAACCCAATTAATCTGTAGCAGAACCAACCAGCCTGTACCTGCTGGGGAAAAGTATCCCACAGCATGATGCCATGCTGATGCCACCACCATGTTTCACTGTGGGAATGTGGCATTCTGTATGTTTTTTACTGTCCCCTGAATGGTTTATGGAAATCTGCAATGGAACCTTCAATGGCCCGTTCTCCAACAATTGCTTTATTCTTTTAAGCTTTTCCTAAAGGAAAGGTTTGTGGAACGCACATCTAATAATTCTGAAGTCAAAGGAGCTGTGGATCTCTGCAGCTCCTCCAGAGTTACCATAAGCCTCTTGGCTCTTTCTTCTTTATAAGACTCCAGATGTGTCAAACTCTTCACCCTCTCAAACATCCAAAGAACCATTAGATATATGTTCCGTCTGGATTTTCTTTAGGGACATCAGAACAAGGGAGGCTGCAAACAAACATTTTGTTCGTCTTGAAGAATTTTGAAACCCTATTTATTATGCTGTTTTGGTTCGCTTTCACATTAAATTCCAATAAAATCCAACAAAGTTATGGTTGTAACAGAAGCAAAATGGAGGGAAGTTAAAGGGTGTAAACACTTTTCTCAAAACACAGTTTTAAAGAAGGGAATAAATGTTAAAGGATGACAGGAGGATGTATGAGGAAGAAGAGCTCAGTAGAACGATTAATACAGAGAATAATAATGATGATGACTCTGGAGTGTGTGTAAGACAGCTGTTCTTAAAATGGCTCTTGACTGAGTCTCCGGAGAGGTTGGTGAGAAATGTATTCACCTCATTCCCTTTACTGTTGCCTTAGCGTTCCACTTTATTATGGAAATAACACGGAGGGTGTAGTTTATTTATGAGCCCCCAGATATTCATGAGCAGGATCTGAGGGTGCAGCTAAACCATCCAGATGTGGGAGAATGTTGAGGAGATACCTGAAGGATTTGTCACAGAACTGGCAGGGGTACGGCAAGCCGGCGCCTCCCTCCTCCTCGCCTCCAGTGGCCGTGCCGAGGTCGCAGCAGCCGTCGGGCATCTGGGAAGGCGACGCCACGTCCTTGCTAGAGGGTGAGGAGGGCACCCAGGACAGGCCTGCAGGGTCATCATCACCATCTGAGGGGAAGGGTGGCACAAAAAGGTATATTTTTACACACAGCTAAGGGACTGAAAAGAAGAAAAAAAAAGCTGCTATGCTGAGACACAGAAAGTGGGGGTAAAACAGGGCGAAGTGGGATGATTAAGGAGAAGTCTCATCTTTCTTGGATGGCAAAAGGGAGAAGCCTGAGGGAGTTCACAGGAGGAAACAAAAAAAAGATATAAACAAAAAATAAACACATCTATCCTGGTCACACACAAGCATTCATAAATATACAAAAAAACAAGGATGGCAGAGATAGAGAGAAAGAATGAAACAGAGGAGAGAGACGTAGAGAGAGAGAAATGCACTCCTGCAGTAGCAACATCTAAATAAAAAGCTCCAAGAACTATGTATCCCCAGCGGAGCCCGGAAATAAGGACAGAGTGTATTTTCTCTCCCTTCATCCTCCCTCTGCAGCCATCCCTCGCTCCATCCCTCCCCTCCGTCCCCGAGGACCGCAGATCCGCCTCATCATATTTTCATTAGGGCCTTGGCAGATTGAAACGTCAGAAAAGCGATTAGGAGATGAGGAGAACAGAGCGGAAAGATGGCGATACTCGCTCCCTTTATCTGTCAGACATACGAGATTATGCGCTGCTCTTTTTCCTTTTTTTCTCCCCCCTCCTGCGCAGTCATGCACAGAGGCAACAGAAAGGCCACAGCTCCTTTAATAGACACTTCAGAATGGATTCGCTGCAACAAAAGAGAAGGCTGAATTATGCTTGATATTGTTCTGTTGCTCTTTGAGCGCTCCCAAGCAGCACGGTGAGCCTCTTCAACATTCACTGGAAAAAATGTAAAGAAGACCAGCATCAAAAAGGGAAGCGGTTTGCTTTATCTGAGAGGGAAATCACCAAAGTCAGGAACAAATAAGGCTGGAGTGACAGGATGCAGAAAGAAATGTCAGGTTAAACACTAGAGAAGTTTCAGTGAAAACGAACCAGTTGTCTAGGAATCTTCTTTATGTTTACACTGGATTACAGCTTCCAGAGAGGATGGAAACAGATCTGTTTAATATGGAGGCAAAATGCATCCATTGGCATGAGAAAATACAACTCTGCAGGAGGCGGTGAGCTTAAAAATCTGACTGGAATAGAACAAACACTATTAAAGACTCAAAGCAAGGCACTAAAATCAATACATTGGCTTCAACAGACACCAATGAGGCGTGACGGTCCGCTTTCCTGAGTGATGAGGCATGGTGGCGGGTTGCAATCGCTAGCTGGGTTCCATTACAAAGGTGAGCCAAACTTTGTTGGTATTTTACTAATGACGAAGAAAACAAAAAACATAATTTTGCAGTTGCTCTGTTTCCATTACATCACATGATATCTCAATAAAAAACATGCTGCGCCTTCAACCTCCAATGTTACTGCTTTTCCAGTAATGTGTCGATGTTGATTACACGACTTGTGTGATATGAACAAAGCGTTTCCATTACATTTTTGAAAAAAATGCCAAATCCGTTACGCTGAAAAAGCAGCTAATCCAAGCACAAACATTTTTTTAAATGTTTGCCTTATTTCATGATCAAAGAAGAAGCTACCGAATCTAAATTTGACAAAGACACCCAGCTTAATAAGACTACCAACCTAAAAATATGCTGCTAGTACTCTTTCTACGTAACAGCCCTGAATATGTCAAAGAAGATTGGATATCAAGGAGAAATCCAGCATTATATTATGACTGTGGGCTGATGATAATGGATGGACTTCACTGGATTCCTGAAAGGTGTGCTGTGCTCTTTAAGCACAAAGTCGGTGGCGGCAGATCCTTCAGGTTTTTAAAGTTAAATGCTACTGTTATTGCCCATTTCCTTAAACATCCACATTGAGGCAAAAGGAAAATCAAGATGCTGCAATGGTCCAGTCAAAGTCCAGACCTTAATCTATTTAATATGCTGGATTAAAACCTTTAAAGAGCAGATCAGACTGAAACATCTGCAAACCTTAAGGAGCTGAGGCAACATTGGAAAGAAAAGCCTCTCCACAGATATCTGTAAGGCCATTAATGCAAAGGGTCATGTGTGGACTTCAAGTGTTACTTTGTAGCTTTGTCTGCAGCCACAGATAAATTAAGAAGACAGGCAACAAACTAAACCCATAAATGAAGCATCTGCACAGAGTAAAGGTGGTGTAACAATACAGGGCGCCTATAAAAGGCTGATCCAGACACCCCCTGCTGGCTACATGACAGGATGGAGGTATTTAAACTCCTGAGAGGTGACCGACTAAAACACAGACCCTGCTATTTCCCAAATATTTCAGCTGCACTCAGAAAGACAGAGTTAAAGAAATTATACCTGAGGTTGGTTTAGATGGGAAACAAAAAGAGATGAGTTGGACGTTTCAGAGGTGGGAAAGACGGCAGAGCCGAAACTACAGAGATTTGATTTGAGGAAGAGAAAAAGAAAAAAAATCTCTTTTTAGTGGTGGGGGTGAGTGTGGGTTGGAGGGGAGAGAGATTAGCGTCATTAAAGAGTCCTAATCCTCTGACTAGCGTAGCTGGCGCTAAAATGGAGGATCACACGGCTTTTTACGGCGCCTTTGTCAGTCGGCCACGAGGGGACCTGGCAAGACAAGGCCGGACGGCAAACTGGGAGAAACTGGGGGGCTGGGAGGAGGGGGAGCAGAGAAAATTTCAATGAAAAGTTAAATTAGAGAAGGGTCCTCCTGGAGGAGCTGACGATGAGGACGGCTGGTTAAACAGGAGCGGAGAAAGAGGCGGAGGGGGGGGGAAAGGTCTGCTGTTTCTCCTCCTCCTGTTTCTGTTCTTCTTTGGCGAATGAAAACGGAGCTGACCACGGGGTCCCTACTGCTCCGCTCAAGCTTCATCTTCTCCTTCCACATCCCTCCCTCTGTCCTCAGCAGTCCCTCCACTCTTCTGTCTTCATCTCTCTTCCACCCCCTCCCTCCGTCACCTTTCATGTTGTCACTCATTACAGCATCCACATCTCTCCCTCCATCCCTCCAAGTCTCCGACTGTTTCTGCCCTACTGGTGCTGGCCTTCACCCCCGTTGTCTCGGCCTGGATGGGACTGACGGGGGAGAAAAGAGGGGGAGATGCTCCAGATGGACAGAGTCTGAACTCGGGGAAAAATAGAGAAAAAATAGGGGGAATGAAAGAGGGGAGAAAAAGAGAGAGCCAGGGGTCGGGAATAAAAAAAGAAAGGACCGCCTGCATCTACCTGAAACAGTACGCACACGCTGAGTGAGCTTCTAATAGGCCAGACAGCGAGGCAACACATGGAGGAAACAGCCTCACACACGCTGATCAACACTTTCTTTAGTTCCTGCTGCCATCCCGTCAAAACTTGACATATTTGTTAGGGATGTGGCACACAGGAAAAATTACTATTATTTCACATTTTGTCACATTAAAACCACCAACTCCAGCCTGTTTGTTGGAGTTCAAGAAGTCATGAGGGGTTTTTAATAACTGATAAAGCAAAATTAATTAAGATCAGTCATATTAGAGGGTAAGCATCTATAGAAATCAGCTCTTAAGCCTTATGAGTTATCTTAAATGAGATAAAGTCCTGGACTTTGACTCAACCACTCTGGCACATGGTTATGGTCAGATCTAAGCCTTTCTATTGAAGCTCTGGCTGCATGTTTTGGTCCTGTTGGAAAGTGTTCTCTGATGTTTTAAAATATCTGTATTATAACATTAAATTAAACACTGAATTTTATTTAGGGTATCATAGCAAAGTATGGATATGCAAAATGCACTTTGATTATTTCTTATTTCTTGATTATTTGCTTACAAAACGAAAATAAAAAATGTCAAATATAATTTTTCTTCCCAATCTAAATGAGTCACTACCTGGTGCTAACCTGTCAGATAAAACCAAACAAAAAAACACTGTTTTGCTGTCCTAAAGTGACACAATCTAGAAACATTCCAGGGGCATGAAAACCTTTGCATGGCAGAAACTTCAAAAAGAGATATTCTGAGGATCGCATCGTCTTTCCAAGTTTTCAGAAGTGCAGGTCTGAAGAAGGAGCAGAATATCAGGGTAACAATGTTTGCAAAGTGCCTGGAATGGAAATGCAGTCTATGCCATGCTTCCTCTCTGTTGCTTTGATGTTTGAATCAAAGGAGCTCAGCTGGTTGCAGCAAAAAGGTTTTTACGTCCCAGTGCTGCTACTACAAGAGTTAAAACTGCCTACAACCTGCAGCTGTGTGCTGCAACATCTCAATTAGCAACGTAAACGAATAATGTTGTAAACATGCCATAAACTGTTTAAAGGTTATAATTAAGCTGAATTTTTTCTTAACCTCTAACTGTTCAAGAGAGCCGTTTTAAAAAAAGGTGTGATGTGTCATTTTAATCTCTCTCTCTTCGGCTTTCCCAATCCATCCAACTCGCCTTCCCACCTTTCTGGTTGGCTTTCAGCCCAGGCGGACACCTTTCCCTGGAAGACTCCTGCTGACCTTTCTATCCCTCCATTCCACTTGAGCTTCATCCCTCCTTTCCTTTGCTCCCCAGGCTCCCTCCGATGGCCCCAGGCTGCCCCAGGCGTGCACACATGCAGCCCCAGACTCGCCACAGGGGGCAGAAAAACAACTTCCACCCTTGGCTTCATTCTGCCTTTCTCTGTTTTGCACAGACTTTCACATGCAAACATAAACAGGGGGGCAAGTTAACGTTCGACACTGAACAAAAAAGGATAAGAACCACATCCATCCAGTGGATTCTTCTTTTATGGTTCATGCTGCAAAGCATCTTGATGAGCTACATCAAAAATAAACAAGTCATAGCTCCTTAATAAATTGATCAATTGTATCTATTTAATTGTAAAATGGTGCTCCAGGAAATCTAAAGAAGTATTTGCTTCTGAGAGGGTGTTTGAAGGCTGTTCTTCCCGTTTGATGCAACATAATAAAGAAGACGCAACCAAAGTCATCTCTCAGCAGTGATAATAAATGATAGGAATAATGAGCCACCCATCGGCTCTCGTTGCACTGAAACACTCTGAGGCTTTTTCCAAAAAATGCACACAGAGAACAGACAAGAAAACAGAAGAATGATCCCTACCTGGCCGACTGATTACCATGAGTTCCCATAGCAACCGGAAAGCTAAGAGCAGCTTATTGGTTGCCATGCATAATGAAACCTGCGCAGTAGGACAGTTTCTTTGACAAGTCGTATTGTTTGGCTGAAACTACCTGTTGTGTAGTCTCTCTAATGCTGGAGAAGGATAAGAATTCAATCTGCTGCAAAGATCTGTTTTCAACCTGAGTACCACGGATGAAGTCCTCATGACAAACACCTCTGCATGGCTTTGGATGCAGACAACAAGCATTCACATTGAGGTTTTGCACTGGGCGAAACGGCTCAAAAAACATCACTCTGAGGACTTTACAGTCCTCTGCTGCTGACCGTGCAGCCCAGACGGGATGGAGTCCGTCGGGACGAGTGCAGGAAAAATAAATAAGTCAGAGATCACCAATGCAGCAAGCTGGCGCAGGCTTGAGCCCTGGAGGAGGCGAACACATGCGTTGGTACACTCTGTGCAGACTGTAGGGACCCTCACCTCCTGCCCTGGGAATGGGTCCGGCTGCTTTTGGGCGCCAACTGTACCATATGGCCGGAGAGAGTTTGTGTGTGTGTGCAAAATTTGTTGGAGGGCAGAAGGTTAGGGGCAGGGGGCTAAGGATGGGGGGTGGGCGGACAGTGGAAGCACAGATGACAAGTTTGTCCCAACAAACAGAATAAAAACACATTTACTAAAGAAGTTGCAACAAAGAACTACAGGAATGTAATAAATCAGGATAAACATTTCTTTTAAATCGTTCAACATTTCCTTACAGTTTCCATGGAGGTCAGAGACAGTTCAATTAAGGAAAGAAGATCAAAAACTTTTTACCCTGCCGTATGTTATAGAAAATCCTTCTGCTATCTGGATATTATGCTCCCAAAACAACCTCCACTGCGGTAGCAACAGCTTAGACCAAACATATTAACACATCAAAAGATTCATAGATAATAAGTATATTTCACTATTATGAGAACTCCTGTAGGCAGAAATGTAAGTAATCTTATACCATCACTATTTCCAAATTAACTAATCTGTCAATTATTTTTTCAATTAATCAATAAAAATTTGGATAGTAAAAGGTTCTTTAAAGAAGAAATTTTACAAAATTAAAGTATGTGAAACTAAAACTTTTTTTTACTGTACTGGATAGAGCATATTGACGAACAAATTTTTGAAAAAAAAATCAAAAAGTTTACATAAAAATATGTTTATCAGGTAAAGACATGTTTTAGAGTCTCTACAGCCCAGTGAACAATTAATCCACTACTAAATTACTTAATGATTATTTCAATAAGCGATTAATGATGATTAATCAGATTAATTATTTCAGCATTACATGCAATGAACATCAGTAAAGAGGTGTCACAAAATAAAAGTATAATTGTAGTGTAAAATATGTTACTTTTTTTTTTGTTTTGTTTGGTAAAATGATGACATTTATCTGTTGAAGTCAATATTAATATGTAACAATACTTTAATTTTATTACACACTGACTAATTTCTAAGCATGACGCCTTTGGCCATCTGTATGAACTGTGTCTGCCCCTGAAGCCAAGCCCTGATATGTAATATAAATGGACAAGATGCTGAGGCTCAGACAGATAGAGATGGAGAGACATTGAGACAGTGTTTGATTGGAAGGAGTAAAAAGTATGGAAAACCTGCTCTAATTGATATTACCATAGCGGTCATGAACAGTACAGTATTTATTCATGTTCCAGATATCATGAACCATTAAACTTCCAGACAATAACAGGTCATGGTAAAGTAAGTGGTTAGGATTTCTTTCTGTTTGTCTCTGAGGAGCAGATTTTGTTCTGTAGTTGGACTGTGGATTTACATTTGATTTACAATGGTAGTTGGCAGTTAGACTCCATATATATTGGATCACTGCTGCTCAATGCAAACAACATGTTGTTATGAATATCCCTTCTGAATTCCAAACCATTTTGTTTCCATAGCTAACATTTTATGTTGGGTGTATCAGCCAGTTTTCCCTGATGAAAACACAACAGAGGGTAACAAATCAAACCTTTTCACAAGCTTCAGGTAAAACAAAAAAATAACTACAGTCTTTCAAACATATTACCGGGCTCTTGAGGTGACGCCCTCTTTGGTAAGGAGACATTTAGAGCTTTTCTTCCTCCTGTAACATCAAGAAAATTAAGGTGCTTTTCATTTATTCTCATCTGCACCGATTGCAACAGTAGACAAAGGCAAAAACAAACTCAAAACCCATAAACAAAACCCAAAGCCGCCCACCTCTGCGTGCAAATTCCATTTCTAATAAAGAGCTGGCATCTGTTTCCTTTTACGAATTTTTCAACAAACCCTTCATCTCCGCACGACCCTTTACCCTCTTTGCATCCTCCTCCTCTACCTCTGCTCAAAACATGCACCAATGCAGCTAAACTGACAAAGGTTGGTGGTTCAATTCCCCATGAGGAAAGTCATTCCCACCAATCCCTCTCTCTATCTCAGTCCATCTTTGTTTCTGCTGTTTGTTCGCTGAGAAATGAGAACCAGCTGTCAAGCAGGAGTGTTAAATAAACAACAACACCATGCCAACACACACAAACACACACATGCTCAGCCATCCCATTGTGTGTATGCCAGCGGCTAAATCATCTATTTATAAGAATGAGGTTTGGTGGACGAGCAGACCGCTGCCTAACCCAGAAACACATTCACCTGAGTCACACACGGAATACACTTTATACCAAGAAGACGCAGAAGTTGAAGGCATTTTCCTGCTATTAAAAGTCCCACCTCATTGTAATAATATTCACAGTTAGGATTCCTGAGAGCTGGGTTTTATTTCAGAGCTTCACAATTTCAAAACACGCGCTCTCCCTGAGAGAAAGAAATGGACTTGATTGATGAATCGACAATATCAACACACACGTCCTCACCTACCCAGATGTGAGATAATAAGTGAAGCGGGTAGCTGCAGCTTGTTATTCACAAGACAAGCACACCATCGTCAGCAAATAAACTTGTTTATGTGTCGTCTGAACAAAGGCAGGGTTTTTAATCAAGCTGAAAACCTGCACAGGCTCCTTTCAGCGGGTTGACTGCAGCCGCAAGAGGTGATTCTGAGCTGCGATCAGGAGGTAAAATGGAAAAGAGACAAGGGGGGCAATGAGGCTGCTGAAGTCCCAGGGGAGGACAGTAGAGGGGGGTCTTGGACCCAAGGGAGGACAGAAAGCAAGCTGTGAGAGGCGGGTACCTCCAGCATAACGCTCCCCCTTCCCTTCCTTCCCTTCTGGAGGATGGGATCGTGGACAGCCCCCTCACTCACAGCTCCTAAACCCCCCGATGAGAGGAGTACATGCACGCACACATGGAAGAGGGGTCCCCCAGGGGCGGTGCAGAACACCTGGACCTGCCATTACTGACACACTCAGGGATTAGAGGCACAGACGGCAGGAGGCATGGAGTGGGAGAACGCACACTGGGATGCACACAGCATCCAGAAAGTAATCTGCATAAACACTCACAGGCACGAAATAATGACGACTGCGACAAACTAAGGAAGATGAGCAGAGATTCCTCTGGAGAGCATGAACCTGACCACTATATGTGGGTCAGGAACATCTCTTAGATCATGATCCATTTAACAGCTCAACATAGGCAAAAAAAAAATACTTACAGTTTGACATGAGTTTGCCTGAGTAAAAACAATACATGTTCCACAAAAGTTAGCTTTAGCAAAGATAAAGATGAAGCCAAGAATTTTGTTTTAATATCAAACCACAAAATGCTGCAAAAAAATATAAAATCAAATTCAAAATTCCTATAATGCAACTTTTTGTGGTTTTTGTATTGCATTTCTGTTTTGAGAGCTGGTGACCCTGAAAAGTTGAATCAGATACAAATCTCCCGGTCCAATTAGATTCCTGTTTTTGCTTTTATCCTTGATGAAAGCCATAATGTTTGAGGAGTCTGGTGATCATACTAGAAGCAAACAGAAATAAATGTCGTTTTCTGCAGCATAATGTAGCAACAAGACAAAATCAAACAGAGCGGTTGATCAGAAGGAAATGGCTTTTATTCAGCAACATGTTTGCTCTAGTTTTAATAAGGTAAATTTAGATCTCATATCATAACATCATAATGACATGTGGTGCTCATTTGCTTGTGCAAACATCTTTGATTTTTGTCAAACTTTAAAATAGGATTTCCTCCTTTAAAGGTGCTGTAAAATCATACCCTTTTCTGTAAATCAGCTTGTAAGCTTATATTAGAGAAGCGGGCCATGTTTGTGTGTATTTTTGTTTGCAGTGAGATGCTGTGTGTGTGATTATGATGACAACCTTAGCATTGTCCGGTCATCTACACATTGCAGAAGGTGCAGTTTGTTTGAGCTATGAACTAGGTTCTTACATAGAAAAAATTAACTCATGGTGGTGGCAAAAATTTCTTTAGCTGAAGTAAAACAAAAATGAATAAATTGTTTATTTGGTCCAAAGGTAAAACATTTAAAGGTTAGAATACAGCTTCAGTTATTACAGCTAGAAACCACCAATAAGGGTGGAAATTTG